GTGCAACGATTTCTTTGATATTTTTCTTGTTATTTGAATTATATTTTTAATTGCATATAAATGTGTAATAATAAGCTAATAAACGTATTTGTCACTCATCTATTGCAATTATTTCGTGTACTGCGTTGAAATTCGTCATAGTTTCTTCTTTCGAGGCTTATTCAGGCGGTGGTAGTTTATTATCGCGTCCCGGTGGTTGAGCGAACGCGGCACTCGTAGCTGAAGAACGGCTCATTGCCGGTGGCACGCGGTATTGATGTAAAAACGAAAAAAGGGGATTAAAAAACCGGGAGGAAAAATAATCCAGTAGGTGGGCTCATTTGTACACGCATGGTTTAACCCTGGCAGCGTTTCCAGCCGGGCGAAGCCCTCTCTCGCTTTTCTCTCTCTCTCTCTCTCTCAGAACTTTTTATTTTCAGTTATCATTTAACTTGCATATCTTAAGCAGATGTAAATCAATATTTTTTCTACTTCAACCAATTAAAGGTTTCTCGCTATTGTAATTAAAAAAGAATTCATTGATTATTCTTGAGACGATTTAAACGTAGGACGAGCGAGAAACAATGGTTCCGGTGTAATTGAAATAAGGCGGCAGCGAAGGGAAACGCGATAACTATTCGCGATTGGAAGTAACGGCGCGAGCCGAGTGTTTTCGAGCGCGGTGATTACGGTATCTCGAGTCTGTACACCGTACGCGAATTTATCGTTTCAATTCGAACGGTTCGAGCTCGTTCACGGATCAACGGAACGCACAATTTCACCGCCTTACGCCGTTACAAGGATTCAACGGGAGAATAATTATTTCCTGCGGAGCACCAGGGCTCTGGTAAGAGAGCCAATATTTTTCGGGTTTCCCGCCCAGACGCGCATAAATTATCGAAAATAAACCGGCCCCTGAAAGCGTTCATCGGCCCGTGGTGAGATATGAATCTAAAATCCAGGTAGTACCTTCCGCTGTACAAGAAAATTATTATTGAAACCAAAAGTTGGATGTTCACTTTGACTCGATCGAATCATATGACGTCTGAGAATCGCCACTTAATTTTATTCAGAAGTCTAACTGAGAGAACAACAGAATTTTATAAAATTTTTTTTAGATACTATTATGTTACCGATTGTACAGCCAGGGGATTTAACACTTTGTACTCGAGAGGCACGAAAACTAATTGCAAACTGTAATATTTAACAGATTTTGTTGTATTCAATAAAAATGAAAAAATTGGTAAAATTTTATTATTTGTATACGTTCTTTTGGGTATAAAATGATTTGAAGTACCCCTAAAGTTCTCTAATATAGCCGAAATCGTCTCGAGTTGCTGGTTCGCTCGAGCGCAAAAGGCCTCGAGTGCAAAGGGTTAAAAAGAAATACGTGTACTCACTCTTCTCTCGGACGGGCTTG